AGATGTGTATAATACACGTGGCTTATATGAAGCTCTAAGGTGTTGTAGGTTCATCTGTCTTGGCGGTATTATATAGACATACCAGTTTTATAATATTTGTAACGTTATCACCCATGCTCTTCTGTGATCCCTATTTCTTCTGCTGTGTATTAAAAAAATACAAACAATTAAAAACTAATACCTGCATATTTTACAAATATTATTATTATGAATTCTATTTCCCTTGTTATAACTATTATGGGTGTGTGATATTTTGTATACCAAAATAAATACAAAATTATTAGGCCTTACACATTTTGGACGTTTCTGAATTTATTTGCAACGCATGTTTTATATCGCTTTACTCCCTTTTTTTGTTGACACCATACACATTTATCTGAAACTTCGGGGGAAAGGCATGGGAAAGCCCTCAAAACGTGTTATAATGTTTGAATAAAGGATATATACGGTGCTTTTGTATGCCTACATTATGTTTTTGCAAACCAGTTCCCACGGCCGGTCGCATCACGACAACGTGCCTGGGAGGTTCATGGCGTACGCGCTGATATTGATAACAAGTTCCATTTGAATTCGTTTTGTACGCCGCTCTGCAGACAAAACTAAGTCGGTCGGGATTGAGATGCTAAACAAAGCGCCGACGTTTCCATTGCTAATTAATTTGTGTTATCGTTTTTGTTGTAGGTTGCAGTAGCAGCGCCAGGCCACATGCATGATTATGTTGATGGTTAAAATACAGTACTGTACATACATACATTATTAGAGATAAGAAAGAAATACACAAACTTAGTTTTAGGTTATATATTTATTCGATCCAACCGGCTCATTGAATTATTTACTCCAATGTAGTATATGTTATAAAGGACCATAAAAGGCCGATAACCTGGATTAAAATATATGATTAATATATGATTTACAAGTTAATTACATGTATGATGAAACTATCCCCCGCCGGACACCATCCCGGTATTTCTAAATCTAGGTTTCGGGGCCAGGTTTTATTAACATGCATATAAGATATTTATTTACTGGCTGACCAACACAGTTTGCCGGGGGTGATATTTGCGTTGATGTGCGGTCATCTCAGCCTTGCTGGTGAATGTATATGCTGGGCAAATACAGCATTGCCCTATAACTGGTAATGGCCTCTCTTTATCACTAGTGTCCCAGTTAGATAGCTGAATAATTTCATTAAATGTTAGAAAATGGCCGTCAATGCTACTCTGTATTGGAGAAGGGAATCCCTTACTCCTACTATGGAAATACGTTCCATTAAGTTATGTGCCACGATGGGATGGGCACTGCAATGTTCACATGATTCGTCCTGGCACTTGGCAAAAGAAACAAATCCTATTCGTTTATCTACATGCCTTAACATAAATTCTACTTCTTCTGTAAAATTACTCTCCCGGTAAACCCTACCACTACCTGACGACATAACATCAAAAGCCTCTTGAGAGTCATTGTACGGGCCATCTATGCTACCTGAAGGAATGTACCGTACATCCAATGGGAGACCTGCAAACTTTCCATGGCTGTGTCATACACTTTACGCTCTTTCGCAGTCCTCGTCATCCGTCAGATCGCATTGGTCCCACGGGCACAGAGCTTCTCCTGGTATTTTATCTGGAAGTGAGACAGATGTTAGCGCAGTTGTGCAAGGGGCCCATGCGTGTTCGATTGGATTGAGTCGTGATTGGCCAAGAGCATACGTTGTCATGATTAAGGCATCTAATTTAGTATCTTTAAAGAGTCTACAGAAATACAACAAGTTAGTATGATGCCCTGTGTTGAAGTCACAGCCACCGTCCCCTATCACCGACACCACTGTTTTCCCATGACGAACTTCTTCCATCACCAGTGGTAGTAGATCGTTCACGTGCGATTCCAGGGTGCATTTCGACAAGGGTCCCTGTTGACGATGAGAACTGGTCCACTACGCTGTACGTTGTACTCTATGCGGCCAAATTCATCTGCAGTTCGCTCTGGTGTATCTGGTATGGTGAGCCGCATGTACCCACTTGGCGTGATCAGGTTTCCGACTCGAACAGGGAAGTCATGGTCGCTGTATACAGGCCTGTCTTGAGTTGGGAAGAAACGTCGTATTTGATTTCGTCGGTCAACAGCGAGTACATCCTCTCCTAAAAAAGGAAGTACAGTATAGTAAATTTAGGAGAGGCAATGAATACTATTATTAGCTAAACAGTAGTAGTAGATATTTATTTCTTTTTATTGTATGGATTTTGAATAAAAAGATACCAAGATATGTGTAACAGAGAAAAATGTCTCCGGGGTTGTGTTATTTTAATACAATTCAGTATATCAGTACCTGTATATTCTTATTGGGTAAAAAAGTACAACAGAATGGTGGATGCATACATAGTACAATAAACTGAATTGAAAGTGGGCAGGGACACAAAAGCTAACATCACTATAACAGATTGTCTGTGAACCTCTCCTTCAGTTTCAACATAAATACAACAATATAAATAGTATATAGTCAAATATATTTATATATATATATATATATTATGTAAAAAATTAAAATCCAATTCGGCTTTGTTCAAACGAAGAGTAATCTTTTCATATTTCCTTAATAAAGAAACTGGTAATCTTCTTGAACTGAAATCCTTGATAATAAATAGAACCAAATGGACGTAAGTTGACAAAAAATACAACGCATTTTAAAAATAACACAAAAGATTTAATGGCAGACATGTTTCGGGTTACCTTCAACCCATCATCAGTTAACAAAAAACAAAACAGAAATGAACCAAATACTTTTCATGTAGATTATATGTATACAGTAGAACCTCGTTTTTACGTACCCCAGTTATACGAACCCTCTGTTTTACGTACGCCTCGTATGGACGATGACGTCATCAAAAACCCCGAAAATATTCAAAACAAACGGCCCTTTTGAGAGCAACCATAAGTAAAAAGAATATAACAATAAACAAACCATAATGCAACGTATTTTCATTAAACAGCAACGTTGATTGAGTCTAATACCGGGTTGTTATAATCTAAAACCACGTGAACTGAGTGAGATGAACAACTACCGATTGTGCTCAAAATTATTGCTTTCCTCCTTAGCTTCGTGTGGCAAACCATGGAAAAACTTGTCTGGTCGAACTTTCTACACGAAGCTGGGTAGACATAGTTTCGTACACAAACGCTAATTGGTTGGCTCGCCCAGTGCATAGCACATGATTGCTGTTTCACGTACACGAACGCTAATTGGTTGGCTCGCCCAGTGCAGCGCACATGGGTTTAGTTTGTCTCAGCAGGCCCAGACAACACCACATCTCTGTTGTTTAGAATAGGCATGAAGGGGAATTCCCAAGTTATACCTTTGTCGTATAGGTAATCTTACAATATTTTCATGTTCTTTATTTTAGTTAAAAAAAAGATATAAAGTGATGAATTATTACACTAGACACATGGTTTTATTTGAACACTTTATTATGACATCGTAAAGTGATGAATAAAAACACTAAACACATGGTTTTATTCGTAGGCCTAGGCCTAGAGG